GGCCTACTGTGCTCTAGGAACACAGAGCGTTCACTGCTTTTATTACAGTATAAAAACTATAAATCGACGTCAAAAAATTGTTCTTTTTAAGTTTTAGAGAGAAAAGATGAGATTTAGATGAGAAAATTCTGATTGGTCAGTTTCTAGTGATGTAACCTGGGTAGTAGCTTCCCACAGCTGTACTAGTAATAGTATATACTATGCAGTAGGTGACTAAACATCCAGGTGTCAGAAAAACAAAATGCCGCAAAGTTGTGTTGCTCCCGGGTGCCGACGATAAGAAAGACATCTGCTATTATATCCTGCCTGCGGATGCCGCAAAACGTAAAATTTGGCTCAATTCTCTGAAGTTAAAAAATCCCAGCACAGTGTCAAAACACGCGAGGATCTGTAGCGACCACTTCGAGCCGGAATGCTTCGTACGTGACCTGCGAGCTGAATTGTGCGGTGGAAAAGCACGGAGAAAACTAAAAGATGATGCTGTACCCAGTATATTCGATTTTTCGGAGTACCAAAATGCGACAGTAAATGCCAGAGCGCTGCCGACGAGAGTCTTACCTGTAGGATGTGTGCATGATGCGGCCGTCGAAAGGAAGAAGAGAGCAGCTTCTAGAGCCCAAAAAAGTTCGTAGCAGAGGTACGTCGTCGAATTTTTTGGTTATGTTAGTGAAAACTTTAATATTTACATGATAGTGGAATCAAATTTTCACTCGACATACTGCTGCACTGATCACGTGTAAGGCGGAAGTAGCGAGGTAAGTTGCAGAGGTGTGAAATGTAGTGTCCGATACTATCAGTCCGATATCTTTGGCCTTTTGTCCACTGACCTGGCTCTCCCGGAATGACACTTGTAAACTGCACGGGTGTGAAAAATAATGTTAGCTGTCACACCTGCATGTATTAGGTAACTTTCTCTTATCAGTCGGGATAAGAACGTTCAGCCGACGCGACAGATGGGCATGTGTGAAAAACTATGTTCGCTGCCATGCTTCCAAACCTTTACTGTTAACATAGTTTTGGTGTATTTTGTTGGTTAATAAATGATAACCACGTAGGGAATTCATCTTCTTTTGTGTATCTATCCTTCAATTCGTTCTCTGTTCATTTTTACAAAATAGTTCAGACAAAGCGATCGAGTAAATGTAAGTAAGCGGATAGCTGAATCGAATATGGCTTTCTGAGCCTCGACGCAAGTGACGTCACTCGCCTCAAAGCGCCACCACGCGGGAGTATCGTAAACTACATTCACACCTGCATAAAATCGGCTTTAAAAACTAAATAAACGTAAGAACTTTTTTTCATTACTCAAAAATGACTTTTGGGCACCTAATGGATAGTTTTAACCCGTTTTTTCATCACAGTATACCTTTAAGTACCTGTCCAGAACTAAGTCTATCATATACTGAGTACTCCAGACCACTTCTGGAAAACCTGGGAACAGCCTCGCCACCACAGACTCTATGTTTCTGTTTCCAGCTTACAGAATCGAAAAGAATGATAACTTATTAAAATAATATAGGTAAAACATCGGGGCACAATATTTAATTTACGGATATTTTAGCAAACGGACCTTGGCTCCAATATTTGCATGTTTCTCTTTTTTATGGCACTTTCAGTAATGGAATGAACGTATTTAAATCTAATGGAATACCTGTACCGGTAGGTATTAATTGAATAGCCTGGGTAGGAGAGAGAGAGAGAGAGAGAGAGAGAGAGGATAACATAAATAAGAGAGCATGAGTTGAAAACAAAGTATCTACCTTCTGCAGATATATTGACGCGAGAGATCGATCCTTATCCAGCACATGTAAGACGTCCACCGATCCCCGCATTCCTTACACGTGAAAATTCCATAACCATGTACGTTTTGAAAACGATACGTAAGATCTATATCATATGGATCAAGGTTTCTCGCGTGCATTTTTTCCCTTACAATTTGAGCCATGTCGATATCCAATAAAGTAATATTTGATGCAAAATTCAAAATCCTTCCCACTGAAACCTCAATAATTTGTCAGAGTGCCAACAACGATTGCGTGCAATTTTTACTGTACCTGCAAGTTTTGATTGCACAATAAGACCTACACTGTACGTATGTTGTTTTGTGCTTTCCACAATTGGCATGTTTTTTTTCTGCGTGCGCAGTTTTGCGCAAGAGTAATCCCTTACAACAGCATCCATTGTTGTAGTAAGAATTAAAATATAAAATGCAGTGTTATGTACAATCTACGCCTCTTTTAAAGCTTTGTTCTTATTGAAAGCTCGAAGTACAATGTGTACCCCTGCAGTCGGTCATACGCCCAGTTTGCACTGACAATGATCCAAAACTAGTAGGCCAGAGCTTTAAATATTAAAATTCGTTCAATATGGCGGAATGCATGCACTACCGAGTTCATTTTAAACGTGAATCTGTCACTTAACTTTGTCAAATTGTATCAAACATAAAATGGTCAATAACAAGTGACTCGGCGAATGAGGTGTTTACCCAGATGGCTACTTTATTGGTACCTGTATTTGTGGGTGCATGCTCAGACGATTTTAAGATATACATGTATAAGATCAACTTAAAATAATCGATGCTCATTGTGGTATAGGCCGCAGCGTTTACTTGGTTGACCCTTGTTCTCACACCGCCCCACACAGGTCTCCGGAAAGCAGAAGATTTTATCATTTACCTGTAAAAAATATAAAAAATAAGCAATCAACAGACTTAAGGAATATACGCTCTAAAGATTTAATTCCAGAGGAGTCAGAAATTAGTCGAAAAAATCCTTTTAGGTGTGAGAATAAGAAGATGGAGTATCATGGGCGCGTGGCACTCACACACACACACACACACACACACACACATAAATGTATGTGTCTCCTGGCTTCTATTGTTACTCTGTCTTGAAGTTTGGAAAAAAACTAAACAGCAAACATGCATCCTTTATCTATCTTCAAGTTATAAGCTAAGTTTAAAATGTTAATATTTGAAACATTTTTGAATGCACTCCCCTTTCCATCAGTAATTTCTCTTCAGTGGAGATATCAGTCTCAAAAATTCAGATGTCTGCTCTTTTCAACATTATAAGCCCTAGGGGGTGGGGGTGGGGGTTGGGTGGGGTGGGGTGGGGATTAGTGGGTGGAAAGAGCCGTTCTTTTGGCCGGAAAAGTATGGATCTGATTTATAATCAGTTACACTTCTGATAACCACTTCTGATATTATTTTGATAAATGATACACAATATATGCTCCCCTACCAAAAAATTGTCATCCTAATGCAATGCGTAAAGTGATTAAGAAAATCATGTCGTGTAGGTCAATGTTCAACTACTCACATCCCCAATTTACAGTATGATCGACTGCCTAGTTGTACAATTAAAACTATGGGTCCCCTTGTCGCAATGACCATAATTGCGGTAGGGGTGACACACATTTTGATAGGTGAGTATAGATCTGTGCACAGATCTTTGTTTTTTCCCCAAATATCATATTTTAGATATGAAATCTGGAATAAAAATAACACTGTTTATAACGGTTTACAGGTGTGATGTGACCATAAATAAAATTGGAGATGTAACAACCTTTTTAAAAGTGTATACACCGTACAGTATTGTTCTCTATTTCACCCTGCATCAACGAAAACTTCATGGTTGCATCTTAAATTGTGAACAAATTACGTTTAAAAGCAAATTGTCTTCCTTGCCCAAAATTCAAAGGGAAGTAAGCACGGAACCCAAGCGACACTGCCAAGTGGGCTTGCCTGAATAACAATTAACAGTCTTGTGATACAATATGTCATTCATTGAAATAAACTACATCATCGTTTTAAAACATGATTTAAATATAGGATAAATATATGAACACAAATGAAGAGTTAAAACTTCACGTTTGGTCAGAAGGAAGGCTTTCCCCGCCCTGAATACCACGACACACAAACCATAAGGCGGCTCTGTCAATGTACCATAAATATATAATTACCGAGTAGTGAAAATTTTCATAAAGGAAAACCTAATCCGTTCGACCAAGCGCGTTTATTTCCGTCTTCCAGGTCTTATTGTATCAATAAAGTATGACTTATAAACTAGCTTGGAATCGGAACCACTGTGACTGTTAAGCAGGCAGACGTTAAGGGGCCCTTATGAAATGGCCACTCAACTCTAACAGTGATCACAGATTCCCCTATTCATACCATCCCTAAAATGAAGGAGACATGGGTAGGATAAGACCTTAGGAAACTATTCTTTGTATAATTATTTACAAAAGAAAAATTGCCAGGTACTAGATTGATAAGAGTACCTCTACCTGTACAAGTGTCACAGATCGATATTTTCGCTACATATTACAGATATTTTTTTAATTTCAAAGTAGTTCTCTATTGTGACTCTGTGATGAAAGCTTAGCGATAGTAACAGGGTTGGTCACTGTTTACCTAACTACTCAGGCAATGGCATTTGACAAGTCCCTGGCAAAACCCTGAAAGGTCCCTCTGACATCAGTCACGACAACTGAAGGGGTAATTGCTCTGAGTTTGCTTGCTGTACTGTGGTATTTGACACGTGCAAAGTTTTTGGAAATCCTTCCTAACCACGTGACACTTTTGTCAGACAATCCCAGGCGCTGCGCGGATTTTCTAGGTGTATGAAGACAAATTAAATGAATAACTTGCGGGCAGCAGTGTTTGGTTCCATTGGTACATGTAATAAAGCTCCAATAAGAATAAGTTGCCCACCGACAACCGACGCCATTACTTGACTGTTTGAGAGAATTACATGTAGCTGAGAAGGATTGAGAGCACTATAGTCCGACAGTGTACAATCCTCACTACCGAAATAAGAAAACTATTATAGTCAGCATGTTTTATACATGATTTATTATTATTATTATTATTATTATTATTATTATTGTTATTGTTGTTGTTGTTGTTGTTGTAAAGGGTTTACTGTGTAGAAAGGCAGTATTGATAATACTTCATCGATGCTGCTCTTCGTATCATTAGTCCAACTAAACCTGTTAACCGGATATAGTGACACTGTTACTTATAAGTAGTATTTTGATGTCTCTGGTGGTTTATACGTATCCTGGTCTACGTAACAGTGAGATGGTTTAATGCACTTTTGCTACCGGTAAAAGATGAATTCGTTCGTGACTTTGTTGGTAAGTTTTTCTCTCTGCTTCTCTTTTGTCTCTCTTTCTCTCTCACTGCTAACGCGCTACTGATCCGTGGAAGCATATATATACCGGTAGATACATAATTTAAAGTTGTCAGTAGTTGTTTATTGTCCGTGACATTTGTACAAGTTCAAAATACAAGCTCAAAATAGCGTGCTATAATCATGCAGTATACATCAAAGCAGAAAAACGCAAAATTACATACTTATAGAGTGTGAAGGAAGATAACTCCTAAACACGTTTTTTCATGGAGAATTTTCTTTTAAGACAATTTTATCACTTATCTTTTCAACGATGGCACTGCGATATCTGATTAGTTATATATCATAAACGTGTCTACAACGCTATCTTGTAACTTCTCTCCCTCAGTAGGACAACCACGTAGGCATAAATAAATACAAAGACATAAAATCAAAAATTGTTTCATTACATAATATATAAACCATATATTTCAGTTTTTTGTCTCGTGTGTGAGCACCAGCGCAATCCCCTCTGTGGTCTTAAGGCCAGAGGTCAAGTTGATAAACACCAGCTGGACGGTCTACGCTTGCCCGTCAGATGGCGCTGCCGACGACCAGACGACAGCTTTCGTCCTGCCCGATGGAAACGGTTACGTACGTCCCAATGATGTCGTGATCAGCAAACAGGCAGGAGGGATGATGCACAAGATTTCTCACTCTGCATCACTTGGTGAGTCCAGACAAGGAAGTAGATATAGGACGACCATGGTCCAGAAAACATGATTTATTGCTATAGTGTATATCCTATTTTTTTTTTTTTTTTGAAAGTTTGCCATCTCTTTTTCTAACGTTAAGATCTACCATCCACTGCCTTCTAATCAAAAAGAGGAATAAAGATTTTCAAAAGAAATAAGTGGGCAGGTGTAGGGTTTTCTAAGGAGGGGGCAATGCCCAATGCTGTGCAGAAAATAAAGTGAATAGGAAATTTTCTATACTCTTTATTGTCTTTCACACAAAATTTTAGGTCAATAACACGCTTTAGCTTTCAATAATTATGAAGAGAGTTTCGAGTCATGGTGAATTTCATCAGTATCTTATATGAAAACTATGAACCTATACTGGTTTTCAGCTGTTTGCGAGTTACATATACCGCCTATTCATCTGGTTGCAGCTAAATTACACACTGTGAATTTGACATGTCTTAGCTCCAGGTCAATTTTGAAATATAAATGTTTTAAAGACATCCTATGAATAATAAGGTGTTTCAGAGTTTTGGCCACCCAGGTCGGCTCACGTACTCGGGATTCACGTAACAGACATAAAGGACGCTCAAAAGTTTTAACAGCAACACTTTTTAAATTTTTTCAATGTAATCACATATCAAGCTTATGACTAGTGGGAAATTAGTAGTCGTGCACGTCCTTTGTTATTCAGTTTTGCCACCAGGCCGTGACATGTTTATACCATTTCCTGTTTGACGGAGTTGGTTATGCACGGGTGTACCGGTGTCACCTGAAGAAACCGTCGTCGTGAATAAACCGTTCTGACGGATTATTCACGCGGGGGTAGCAGTCTGTTGACTTACAGTACGTAGCTGCACATACATTTCCAACATTTCCCCGTAGAGAAAGTTGTAGTTTTATCAAACACACAATTTCTTTTTAATGAAAATGACTGAACTCTGAATTGAAAGAACATTGTAGGGTGAAAACATTTATACTACGAGTCTTAGATCTACCACGTTTTTCACACAGAGCAAAACAGTTCAGTCACGATCAAAAGCTCACTTCCAACATTCCCCCGTATACTGTAGTAATAAGATTATCAAATTCATACTCTCTCATGACGAAAACCACTGAATTATGAATTGAAAGATCATAGTTCAGTGCAAACATAGCGCCTACTTAGGACGACATCGTCACACCGGAAGTTACTTCTTTCAATCTACCCTCAATGCGCATGTGCAGAACGGTTTCGTCACGGCACGGGTCTATCACGCTACACCGGTTTGGGCGTGTCATTACGAAGCACTCATTTCGGATGACTCCTTGGGCACGTTTTTGAAAGACTTTTCCACGTCGTTAGAGCAACAAAGTAGTTTTTTGACTACACTATTTCGGATATAATTATCTCTGAAGTAGATTTATCACTTGGTTGTCGTAACACTGTTAATAATGCGAACAAGGATCTGAAACGAATTTTCGAATGACTTATTTTGAAAGTGGTCCTTGTCATCTCGACCAAGACTGTAATTTGTTGTCACATGAATACACATTTGTGGTCATATACTCACATAAACAAACATGTTTTCAAAGTTCAGGGTTACTTAGACATTGTAATTTATGGGTTGGAGGAAACAAACTGGATTATGTGGCATGGGAACGTTCATACCTGGCTCAGAGAGACCGAAAATGGTTCGGTCTGAATGGCGCGGAGGACATTGGTGTGAAGACGGTGTTTTTCCTTAACTCAATACAAAATGACACAAACTTTGAATGATTTGGAACACTGGGATTGTTAACGTAGCCACAGTTCAGGTGCAACACGGGAGTTCAGTCATAATTGCAAGGATCGATGACACCATTTTAACTGACTCGAAATCGGTTTGCTGTGACCTAGTGTGAACAAAACTAATATCCCTGATATTGTTTTACCTAGATGGATTAAGATATTCGTACAAACGCTGTAAACGCCGATGACAATTTTTAAAATAAGATTTGACACAGTTGACATGCGAAATATTTTAATATTATAATATTATAAAATATTTTAAAACTGCTCTTAGTTTATCAACGTTAATATCCTGGGACTTTGCAGTTGAGAAAAGAGATCGAGTGAGTTCCATAATAAAGCTCAATAGGGTGTTATACGAAAGAATACTAAAGTGCTTTATGATACGTGAGAATGCAGGTACCAGGGTACATATTACATGAACGCATTCGCATTAGGGAAGGTTATGGGGACTATTGTACGCTTCAGTGACCAACTACTAATTGAATTAACCATCTCTCTCTCTCTCTCTCTCTCTCTCTCTCTCTCTCTCTCTCTCTTTATTTTGTTGCTTGTTTCATTACGTAATTCTTGTATGGTGTTATGATTTCAGGGACATACGGCGTATTTTTGGGAAAGATCGCGGAACTAGATGACGTGTTTGAACAAGTTAATATCTCTGAACCGTCCCAAGAAACAGAGGAGATCGAAAGACCAGAGTCCCAAGAGATCGTTCCTGATTCGAACTTGATCAAAACTCTTACCTCACGGAATGGTTTGGTCTCTGGTAACACCACGGTTGTTAAATTGAGAGGTATGGTTGACGTTGTTAATGTTTGTTGTTATTATATTATGTGAAAAAGCAGATAAACCTCCAACTTACTGCTACGCGTGTAACTGTTTTTTCATACAAGTGGGCACAAACGTTTTTGGTTGCTTACATGTTGTTATCAAAATTAGACATTCTTCATCTGAATGTGCGTTTGTACCTATTTTAAATCTTTCTATTATTAGGTAGAAGTAAAGTTTGGAAATGCGCAGGGCATGTTTACCAGGGCGAAAACGAGACATCGCACGTGACTTTTTACTTGGTGATTCCGCGAAGAGAGAGTGACCACATCAATGTAGATGACGTATTGGTGGGCAGTTCTAGCGGCGGTTTTCTGGAAAAAGTGACAGAAATTGTGACCATCCCTTCCCCGTGGAGAACGAAGTTCGTCCACACCGAATTATTGTTATGTGGAAACCTAGAAGACTCATCAGATGTATTTCGGTACGAATTTTTATTGCTATGCCTGTGTATACTCTTCGTTCTGGTCGGTATATTTGACGGTATACGGGATAGCCTACATGTATATGTACGTTCCCACCGAGTTGTCTTGAGCTGTAATTTTATTGACTTTGGCGGCAACCCATGGGCTTATCTATGGAAACAACACCTTTGCCAAGTCCTGTAATTGCCACAACATGTGACACCCATATATTTTCCTGGAGTTTATTCCTAAATTTGTTATATTATATGACCATAAATATGCATTTAATTATGCCAAATAATTGTTTGCAGCACTGGTAAACCTATTTTGATATAACTTTATTTAGGATTAATGAAATTCGGAGAGGCTTACAATATACCTCTTGCGTTGGTGGAGATGGAATCCCGGGCCTTCAAATGTTCCAGAGACGGACTCCACGATCAGTTTCAGTTGGTAGCGTTATACCTGGAAGACCCTCACAAGAGTTTGCTGCAAAGGTAGACCTTCACTCTAGTTGCTGTACCTTATAACTCTGGCATGAGGGGATTTCGTTTTAACTCTGGACAGTAGCCTGTAAAAGGTGTCACATCTGCCATTTGTAATGCTGTTTTAATAATTAGTTAAAATTATTTTTAAATACAAAAGCGTTACATTTTTCCTGCAGGTTAGGGAGCATGCCTAGAATTTTTTTTTTTTTTTTTTTTTTTTTTTTTTTTTGCCGCGGAAGGACTGATAAAACGATTTTTTCGGCAATCTCCACAAAGATTTGTATTTTCAGTCTTTAACTCTTTCATGTTCCCAATTTGGAAAAGCGTTGTTCAAACCAAAGTCACTGTCTTGTTTGCCTGTTGCCTGTACAGTACGTTTAAACTTATGATTAATATACAATAATATGTATTATTCTGATTTTTTTTAAAATATGACCTCGCTTTACATACAGATATATTTATTTGGTTTCACTAAGGTACTCCAAAGTTTCCAGAAAGATGGCTACAACTTCTTTGAAGTTTCTCCTGTGGAATCCATTGAAGGCGGGGAGGTGACTGTGGCGAGCACGGGTATCACGACAGATAGACATGCAAGACAGAAGAGAACGACATTCACAGCGGGAAAAAGATTCAAGGCAACGTTTCCAGTAACCCTAGGGAAGGTTAAGGTAAGCACGCATGCGCTTTAAGTTTCACGAAAATTGTTAACAAGTTGATGGAAGTACATATTGCAGCATAGGTAAAATGAGAGTACGATTCCAGTTCAATTTAAAGTAAAATAAATCAAAAACTTTTCTTTTATCGGATAAAGCAGTAGGCGCTCTTTGTCATTTGATATTAACATTAAGAAAGTACATATTCAACGATAAATTGCACATTTTGCAAGTATTCTATCCTATTCACTTCCTTTCTTGCCGACACATGGTAATTATTTTAGTTCTTTTATTTAGAGTATCTGGTGTTATCATTATCAACGGTTTTTCGTCCAGGCAAAGATTGCATAGGTGCTGATTTCTCCTTTGTGGCGCTGATTTTTTATGACGTCCCGTCTAATGTAATACTGAGTGTTACTTTCTTTTAATTTCCAAATGTATTTAGATAACTTTCTACAGCATATTTTTTTCCCTAAATGACTTAGTGTGATTATTATATCTCAAATTAAATTGCCCACCACAAAGGCCTGTTGAGCACCGGACTGTTGAGCACTCTGTACCACACTTAAGCTTGTTATATATATATATATATATATATATATATATATATATAGAGAGAGAGAGAGAGAGAGAGAGAGAGAGGGNTCCTTAGCAGTTTCGAGTGCGATTATGCTCGTTGTGATCTACTTATGTATCAAGATTCGCATTTTAACGCTAACAGTGATGACCCTTAAAAATGTTAATACAGGTGAAGCGATGCCAACTGTACCAACATGGATATTGGGTACAACTACAAAAATTAATTATGAAGTACAAACAACTTGTGATGATCCATATTCCTTCATAACATTTCTAATTGCATGTGTTTGTGTAATTTTGGCTATAGTTTGGATACGAGATAAAATTATTAAGAAATTATGCATCTTCCACAAGGCACTTCTTATTTTAGAAATTGCCAATGACCAACGATGCATTACTATTCCTATTATTCAGCTGAATGGAAGTCCTCATTCCTGGCATTTTCATATGACGCAGATCTCTGATATTTTACAAATTGAAGGTAAAATTAGATCAAATTTATTGATTGATTGGCATGATTTGGTGATAACAAACTACGTAACTGGTCAGACAATACAACTACCAGCACGTGTTCCGATTTCGTTTATAAAAGCAATACAATTAAACAAAATTATTGATCGCGAATTTTACAAATTTTTAGCCATTAAACATGCTGGAATGTTATCCTACATTCGATATTGTCCACCAACGTGCACCGGATCGAACTTAGAATCTTAAATATAACTTGATATTTTCAAACCATCAAATTTTAAAAGAACGGCATAGTAAAATTATGGAGCATAGCAATTGCATTAATGATGTGTGTACGACAGTTTGTATTTAGAAATATTTTTTTATGTTAAATGTGTTTAAAGGTATGGAATGTACCATTAATTAATAAATTCAGATGGACATATGACATTGAAATGAGATGAACTGATTTTACATGAAATATAATGAACTCTGTTCCAGAGACAAAATGTTGGAACAAATGAACATTGACTTTTAATGTATATACATATACGTATATCATATTATTAATATTGTCACAATGAATTATTCAGTGAATGAATATGACATAATTTCATATTTGATTGACATTTATGAATGATTTATAATGGAAATATTAGTGGAGATTTCCAATTGAATATTAGTGAATATACAGGAAACTGTGGACATTTATTCACAAGAATAGTCACAAACACGGACTATACGTTTATTTTGTTGTAAATGATGCAGAATAAACATCATTTTCATTGAATGAACTTTAATTTAATCATTCAAATTATAAAAAAAAAATTTATATACTTGACAAATGGTTAATGATTTAAATGCCATTAACATATTGTGTAATATATTAAGAATTACTATTAAATAATATACATGTAAGTATATTGTTGTTACCTTAGACTTTATACACTTTATAACGATATATAATTAGCAGTACACTAAATTGCATGCAAATTAATGTAGTGGAACTAATTTCTATTTTAGAAAGCAAGATGACATGGAACAACAAATATAAAATTTGAAAGGAATTATTGTTTTTGAATATCAACAAATTGTGGATGTACGTAAATGTATTATAAATAGTGGTTATTCACAACCATAAAGGAAAACACTACAGTATGGATGATAATAACAAACGAAATGCAGATTTTCACCACGGACAATGTGCTGGTCACAATGTTGGTGATGATGGCTGTATATTCGAAAAGGAGTCATGACCCTATAATCCAACGTAGTGTATTTAAGAAGATATTATAAAAATGTGTCAGAGCCATAATAAGAGAATTACATGTTAAAATTACACAAATTATTAATAAAGTTGAGCATGTGTATTCTTGGGCCGCACATTGAAGACAATAAAGGAAAACACATTACGCATCCACGCGTATCGCAAAATTTGATTAGTATTATTTATCCTTTCTAATATATTCATTGTTTCATGTCAACTAAATAACTATATATATCTATATTATACCATATTATTAAGTCTAATGACATTATTTTAAACTTTTTAAATAGTTTTTTTTAGTTATGCAATGCTTGTGCTTCTACATTCAATAAAATAGAGAGAATGTATATCGTAATAAAAAAAAGGGGGAATTCGAGGACGAATTTATTTGAAGAGAGGGTGTATATCGTAATGAAAATGATTAAAAGTACAGATACAAAGTTGTGATTGTAATGAATACATTGTACCTTTCATAATTGATACAATATACATTTGTTAAGAGGTTAAACAGTGTAAGTAAGAGAGTTAAAGAGTGCATGTGTTGTTCAATAATAACAAAAGAATAAGGGAGTATAGTTATCATTCCTTCAGGATGATACAATGAAAAATCTGTATTAATAGAAATGGCGACCTAAGGTCAAGTAACATACCATTGCCTAATAAGAGAATGATTATATTTTGGGTAATGACGTAATGATGGAAAGTTATGGAAAAAGGGATAATCATAGACATTGTGTAAGAGCTGAGGAATTATTACATTACCAAATAAGGTAATGTAGGAGAAAGACTTTGTGATACATCATGACATTGGAATGATGATCTATAGGATAAAAGAGAATGCATTGTAACTGGAAAATAAGAATATACGAATAAATCTTTTAGGCCCCCAAAAGATGTATGTTCTTCATTTATAGTACTGGCGAAATATCGGTACTATACTAGTACACTTATTTTAGGAGAATCAACGGACTGTGATGAGACGCCGATGTTCAATATTCAATAGATATCCAGGGAGACCGAGCGCGATCACTACTCTGGTGTTGTCGTTGTAAGCTCACGTCTCTATAACTATCTTAACATATCTACTTTCTCTATATGTGAGACATTTTGCTGAATAACAGTACCTTGCTGCAACCATTTCGCCTGATTAAAGGATTGGTTTGTTTCATTGGATTATGTTGTTACGGTCCAACACGGCCCGCACATAAAAAAACACACAAACAACAGTGTATCAACTATGAAAATAATATTCTATGTCCATATCTGTTCAACTGCCTTTATCGAAGCGCCGTTTTCCACTTGAGGCTGAGATTCTGTGCTGCTGCCTTTCATAGTGAGTTAAGTTAGGCTTCAAATAGTCCAGGTCCTAAAATACAGTTTTTCCACTGTCAAAGTTCAAACTGTTCACACTCACGTGTTGTGTTCTCCAGTGTCTTAAATACAGTTTTCACTGTCAAAGTCCAGACTGTTCACACGCACATGCTGCGTTCTCCAGCATCTCAAATACAGTTTTTCACTGTCAAGGTCCAGACTGTTCACACGCACGTTTTGCGTTCACCAACATCCCGCACTCCAATCAGTCCCGCACTTAATAACGTCACACCTCCCTCCTTAAAGGGAAAAGTTGGAATCTATGACAACTTTTTTTTTAAACAAAACTTAACTACATGATCGAGAAAGTGCATCTGCAATTACATTGTCNCAAAAACATAAACAAACACGCGATCGGCTGGGTAAAGTGGAATTTTATTTTTTATTTCAATATTCCATAAATGTCAGTGCTATTCATGGATATTATAATACAAATATCTCGAAGGAGGTATGTTCTTTCCAAATTTTTGTTGTTTATGCTCTCATTTACCGAGTTTTAGTTGAGCTTGCCGACTTAAGTCTCCTCCCGAGGAGGCTTGACATCGTCGACTTACAGCTAAGAAAAAAACGACGTAAGCGACCTTTTAGATTCTTTGTGAAACGGGACTTAGTGACGTAACGACGTAATTACGTTGGTAACCAAGCCCTAAGTCAGGGAAACCGACTTAAGTTTTTTTGTGAAACGGGGGCCTGTACTAATCATATGGGACCTGGACTTTCATTTCTAGGTCTACCATTCCTGTCAGATGGGCCTCTGTTTTACGCCCACTCGTCTCATTAATGTTGCCCGCTGACCAGTGGCTAAGAAAGCTGGTTGAGATAGAACGAACTAATCTGTTCCACATGGTCTCGTGACCGCTTGAGCGAGTTCGATAATATATCCTTGACCAGCAAGTTAAAGAATAAAGTTATGCAGATAAAATTATGCTCGACTATTCTTTAAGCACTATCTTTTAATATATTTTCGAACTTATTTATTTTATAAACGTAACCCACATTTCAGCGCCGCTAAATTAATTTTTTGTAGTTTTTTGTCAAGCTGCGGATTAAATGTTATATCTATATTTTGCGTAAATGAAACTTACAGGATATACTTTTTTCATTATATAATAAGGGACGGTTTCATTTTTCAGAAAATGTTTCGCATCCAATATAATCAAATGTAATGGACCATCAAAGACTACGCCTACCCCACCGACAGAAGAACCTACAACTCCTCTGAGACCAACAACCCCGCGCCCATCTTCCACAACAGAACCTTCAACACTACCAACAACGAGTTCCCCATCAACTATGGTAGATTCTTCCACTCAGTCAACCCCTACAATAACATCCACCCCAACTGTAACAACCCAACCCCCTACTATGACTGAATCCACGCCAGCAATAACAAGTTCCACATCGACTATGACAGATTCTTCTATCCAGTCGACCTATTCAATAATATCGCCTTCTTCCTGGGCAACAGAAATTACAAGTATGGCTGAAACACCATCAGCAACAATAAGTTCCACGTCGTCTATGACAGATTCTTCCACGCAGTCAACCCCTTCAATAACATCGACCCCAACTGTCACAATAGAACCCACAAGAATTACCAACATCCCACCAGACGGAACAAATCCCCCACCAGGCCCAGAAACTTCTCCTCCCTCGAAATCCCCTGCAAACACATCAGACGAACCGCAAGACACGACGGATCCCACTCCGTACGAGACCCCTTCTTCAAAACACACAACCTCTCCCTGGCTAACAGGCTTCACAGTGAAAACAACTCCACTCACACCAAACACAACGGAAGTCATCACTACAACATCAGCACCAAACACCACTTCCTTTTCCACTGAATACCCGGATGAGGACATGTGCGCCTTAATGCCCTGCGAAAACGGAGGCATCTGTGCAGATGGACAAGGCGAAACCTTTTCTTGTGTTTGTCCACCAAATTTCACTGGGAAATTCTGCCAAAAAAGTAAGTCAGATTTTAGTAATATTTCCATAAAGTTAAGCGTAAAAGTTGCGTTTATAACCTGACATCTTTATTACATGTATTTATCTACCGGTTTCACAAATTATACCTATTGCCGTGTATATTATCTATTTGCATAAATTGCATCATGATTCGAAATGCTTGATATATATCATTTGGCGAAATTGGAGATTTCCTTAAAAGTGTAAATTTTGAAAGGTCAGTTGAAAGCGCACCTGCCACACATCTCAATTGGTTCTCAGTGTCACTTCATTTTAAGATTTCATTTCCAATTTATTTTTTTCAGGAGTCAATGGTTGGACATGCACTTGTGAAGGATGCAATCCTCAGACCTTCGAGTGTACCGGGGATCCACTCTCCCCCGAATGTGACTGTGTCAACTGTGATTGTGACATCTAAAGGGTCAACGCTGCCACTAGATTGTTAGGCTTGTAAAGCCAACAAATGCAGCACGTTATTTACATACTCTTCAGACGACAATTTATTGCGCGCTCGCGTGCTACCGGTATGCTAGGGTTGCCTTTTCTTTCAGTCTTATCCCATGGACTCGTATGGAACGGATGGGCTAATGTTGCTGCGTAGCTTAAAAGAAAAATACACTGAAGACAATCGTGTGATCTCTCTTTTACCGTTAATGACACTCTTGTCATCAACGCGATCTCTGTTCATATACAGGTAAGTTACGACCTCCTGTTTAGCCAGATGTGACGCAATGCGTTTTCTGTCTCACCCAACACAATCAAACAATTGTTGAACTTTTTCTGGATTTATAATTATTCCCTACCTGTATCAATGGTTATAATAGCTGTGAAGTTCGAACGGAAATGATTCTAGATCTACAACACCAACAGCACATAATAACTATGTACCAAGCTATATATATTTGCACAGAAACATATTGCTTTTAACCATCCAGGGTGCAATTAATAATAAGGAAAAGAGTACTGTATATGAACAGAAAATTAACTTGAGTCATATTTTACTATTATATTATATCATAGGTATGATGTTTCCGTATATAAAAGTTTTTGTTCTGTGGGAATGGGAATCATCCTGAGATCTCTCCTCTTTACCAGCTTATATATATATGTGTGCAAAACATATATCAGATATTTAAATACTGATAAGCCATGTTGATAATAGTGGTTGATTTTCAATAATCCCGCAAACAGGTTGGAGAGAGTTTATAATTTTTTAAATAAATAATAACCCTTGGATATCCACAGTATGTGAAACTAAGGTCTCTGCGAGTATATTCACAGAATTAGGTCGTCCTCCACAATCTTTTTTTTTAATTGACCAATGTAAAATCATATAATTTTCCAGGAAGATTTATTAATAAAGCTTTGAACAGTTTAACCTTGTTCGTCATAGATTTTTTTTTTTTTTTTTTTTTTTTTTTGCTTATCGCGCCTTTATACAGACGTACCGGTGTACCAACGTAAAGACGCCTGACATCGCATTTTTTGCGTAATGCCTTATGCTTTAACTATTTCAACCAAATTTACAGAGAAAAAGAATTGAGATACTTCGAGAAATCACCTTTTAAGCAATACGAAACATAGTATTAAAATAAAAAGACAAATACCACTGAATGTGCTAAATGTGGCGCGATCTACCACCATCACTATGCTTAAACATGTCAACAGCTACAAAAATTGAAATTACCACTATCATTTACAAAAGCATTAATGGCAAATAAAGGGAAGGAAGTAATACAGTTGTCATCTCGGTGTTGCAGCTGAAAAACAAAACATGATAACATGATGGCTCTGTCACAATAATTATTTTGTCAAGGTCCATGCAAATGTAAATCACTGATCCAAACCTAGAGCTATTGCTCTGTTTTTTAATATGGTCTAAATCATTCTGCAACACCGTTACTTTGTATATCACCATGTTTTTCATCTTTTAAAGTTTGTATCAGACTGTGCCATAAACTTTTCGACTTACTGGCCATTCGGACCGCTACTTTCCTTAAAACGTCTAGTCCGTATCAGGATTCACTGGTCCGAATAAAAATTTCAGTAAGACTGGACATTACATTAGTATAGATAATAACAAGAAATTCATTTTGTCAGATGTTTATTTTCGAATCATCGTGTAACAGTGATATTTCAAAAAACAAGATAAATCAAACCGACAGCTCTTTTGAAAAGTTATAGAAAAAGCCTAATGGCCATGTCGGACCACTAAATTTACACATTCTGAATAATTTACTGGTACAAACAAAACTTTATTAGCGGTTGGCTTACAAACAGTGACTTACGCTGCAGACTCTAATATACAAAAAAAAAAAAAAAAAAAAAAAATGAGTGATCGAGAGAAAATAATCACAAAAGAAAAAATGATTTCTCAAAAACAAGAAACTGATGTTTTTAAAAATGTTATCTGTTATTTTCTCAGTCATCTTAACATACATGTAGCTACCTTTTCATTATTAAAAGTCGTGTCATATCTTTAACAAACTTCCATGAACGTATCTTTAGTATGTGAAATCCAATTTTGATTCCCAAGAATGATGATAAAAACAAAATGATAAACTTTTTTCAAATACTGTTAAATATTTTTTATCTTGTGTAAAGACGATAAAAAGGTAAATCGTGGTAAAAAGTGGCAAAAAGTGACAAAAGTGGTAAAAAGTGGCAAAAAGTGTTTTGTACTTTTCAGACACCATTTCTACCCTCCTACAAATTGTCTCTACCACGTGGCTGACTTGTCATTCCACATAAGTACAAAACACTTTTGGTCTCTACGAACGATTTATTTTTCTGTCACATTTTCAGATTGTAATGAAGATTTATAACTGTTGATCACTCAGACGGAAAAACGTGGCGATAGATTAGAAAATGAGAAACTAGAATAAAACGTGGTTTGTTGTGAATTTCATTCACTCTCTACTAACTGCCAGGTGTTTAATGTACTGACAGTCATTATCTTTCTATCACTGTATTATAAGGATAGATCACCTCATCATTTCACTAGCATAACCTCTTGTGTGTTACGTCACCGGTCAAGTGGAACAGGAGATGGTAACATTCAACATTACCCGTACAACTCTTTTCATGCTTGGTTTGTCAGATAGAACAACAAGTGCTTGAAGCAAATATGTTAAGCATTGTTTTTATTGCAGGACGGAAATATCGCTTCCTTATAAATAACTTACTGTCCACCACGTGGAGGGAAAGTCACTTAATCGATTTAGATAAATCCTCTCACGTTATTCACAACTCCCTCTGAATACACTTAAATCTGAATTTAATTTAGGAGGTGTTATTGAGCACACCTGTGCTATGAAAAGCTCCGTTAGCTCCCCCAACGACCTACCTGTGCTGTCCCGGTGTCAATTTCATTCACCTGTAATTAACTCCCTTTGATGTCACCGCAAGCTGTCAATTTCACAATGGCGCGCCGCGATGCAGGGCCGAGGATCTGATATAGCGTTATAGAAATGATAATATCGCAGAGCAGCGCTTTAATTGTTGATACTTAAACCCTTCGTAATTTCACAATGCAAAACGCGATGGGGATCATAGCTTTGAAAACAGGGGATTCAGGCCATTTAAGCGGTGATACTCTCGCGCGAACAATAGAATGCGTAGAGGTTTAATAGGATTTTCAGCCACAAGGTGTGAAAGCGGCGGTGAAAAGTTAGTGGATACTTTGTATATTGGTTGAGGAGGAAACAGGCCAGTTCTCTATGTTTTTGAGTGATCTGGGAAGCACGGGGATATGCCCCAGTACTATTTGGGTATTGAATCCTGCATTTCATGCATATGGACTGTTAGTTTAATTTGCAAGACACCTAAGTATCTTTAAGTCTAATAGAAATGTTATACACAAATACCAGTAATTAAAATGTGTTTTTAGAAACAACCAATAATTAATAAGTAGACAAAATTAGATAAAAATGAGTTTAGTCCAAAGGCTGGTCTTGTGCTTCAAAATGAATAGTTCGCCGTCTCAAAGAGGGAAGGAAGGTTTAAATTTATTCCACTTTTAATAAAAATTCAAGAACTGATTATTGGTCATTGTTCTTACTTCTGCGCATGTAAAGGGACTGGTAACATAAAACGATCAAATAAGTTTACTTAAAAAAATAAAACATCTTCAAACTCGACTCTTTTGCATTTTTTACTGTAGTTTTTCTATCTAATGGAGTATTTAATATTACATACTGGTGAGTAAATACTTAATTAACCACACACCAAATGCACTACAAATTGGTAATCACGGAGGCAAACACGATAATACAATGACTGACACATTCACAGTTGAACTACTGGCAGTCTGAATAGGCTGGGTGGCAATATAGTTGGTAGGGTGGGTTAATGTATTGACACACCTTTTTCTCCTCTGGGCCTGGTGGCTAAGAACGCTTTCCCCTCTACCCAAAATGCGCTGTCCTGTAACGCCAACGAAATGGGGTGCTGGTTGAAGATGCAAGTATTCAAATAGC